TTTCTCCCAAGGTATCTCTGGGTAGACTCAAATAGCCAACTGGTTAGCAGCAGAGTTCATTCGCCTTTACACCACCCAGGGACTCTTGGGAAACATTACCGTTTGGGAATGTATCTGTTTTTTCCCCTACGTCTGGGAATCCTTAGTATCAGACACTGTTGATTATTCCCAGTGGTATCTCTGGTATGGAGAATAGTCCCTGGCAGAGAAGGGGCATCATCAAGTGTTTAGACAATGAAAGGACAACAAGGTATCAAACATAATGTTTAATAGCTGGAACAATGGTGTACCAAAGCCAGGCTCAGTAGAGTTCAAACATGATGGATTTCAGGATTTCCCTGCATACACGTAACAGTAGAAACAGATCATAGAATATGGCATTACTCACAGTGGAACCATCTCCTTGTGTTAGGATCTTTACTAATGAGTTTGGGGGGCAAGTTAAGTTCTTCACAGCAGAAAGCAAGCAAGTGAGATTTCTCCCTCACTTACTTTTCTCTCTGTGGCCGTTGCCATCTGCTAGTTTTAAAAATAATTTTTAAAAGCAAGTGTTTTGGTTCTCTTCAATGTGAAGCAAAGACAGATGCTATTTTTAGGCTTGTTTTCTATTGGGGGGGAAAAAAACCCCAAAGAACCAGGAGCTGGATGTTGGCAATTCTGGCTTACTGTTTCCACTCTGCCACCAACTCATATGTGACCTTTCTGCAGTTCTTATATCCCTTGGACCTTGAGAACAGAAATGACAGCCCGTCTTCCTCTCTGCCTTCATTGGGGATGTTGAGAGAGTGAAGTTGTATTGCTCTGAGAAAGTCCTTTGGACATTTCAAAAGAAAATTGGTTAACGGTGTCCCTCTTCTGTAACCTGCAAGATTCTGTCTTAAGGTACAGTGGGGTCTCTCCATCCTTCTCTCCCCTTGTGGACAGGAAGCTCTCTGAGTAGAGGATCCATGCACACATCCATGGAATGTCTAGCCCAGAGCCTTGCATATGAGACATACTCACGGGAGGCAGCATAACACAGAGGTGGAGAGTGCAGACTCTGGACCCAGAGCAACAGGTTAAAATCATGGCTGCAACTTACCAGCTGAGCGACCTTCGGCAAGTTACTTAACCTCTCTGTGCCTCATGGTTCATGTTTCACAAAGAAGAAGGATGATGGTATTTACCATATTGGGTGCTTTAGAAAGATAAAGAAGATAGAATATATAAAGCACTTAACTAGTTGCCATAGAACTGACTCCAACTCATGATGGCCCCATGTGTTGTGTCAGAGTAGAACTGTGCTCTGTAGAGTTTTAAAAGCCGATGTTTAAAAGTAGGTCACCTGGCCTTTATTCTGAGTGGCCTCTGGGTGGACTCAAGCCACTAACCTTTTGGTTAGTGCCAAGTGCATTCTATGCACTCTACGGACAATTTAAAAAAATAATAATAATGATTTAAACATTCATTATAAGGCTAACATCATGTTAGATGCTTTGTATATGTCATCTTTTAAAATACTCCCTGAGGCAGGTGTAACAAGGCTTGGTTTACATGTAACAAAAAAAAGTGGAGATCAGTGAGGTTGAGTAACTGCTTGGCGTTGCACAGCTAATAAATGGTAGAACAAGCCCTCAAGTCCTACATTGGTTTTCAAGCTGGTCCCTTTGCCTGGCACTTCACTTCTCCACCACTCCTGCTCCTAGTCTCATAGCCCAACACAGTGGTTTGACAACTTTTAGCAGCAAACCAGCGTAAGAAACTCATTCTACAACGAGACCCAGCCTGACTTCTCTATAAGTAAAGCACACGTTTCACAAAAGAAGACTTGGTATTGGTGGCGTCCTGTGCAGGGCAGTCTGATCATTTCCATTCGGTTCTCCTCCTTTTGCTTTTTTTAAAGTTGCTCATGACCCACCCACCAAATTGACTTAGAGAGTAGTCGTTAATAAGACACAACTTGCAGTTTAAAACGTGCTGACTTGGCTTAAATAAGCAGGCAGTGCCATCAGGCATTACATTTATTTACAGTTTGCAGCACTGCACATGCTTTATTTATGCCATCTGGTCATTCAGAATGAAGGAGGGTTGACTGTATTATCCATATTTTGCAAATGGAGATTTTGAGGCTCAGAGATATCAGGTGGCCTTCTCAAGCCCACCTAGCTAGACAGCATGGAGCGTGGGCTTTGAGTCCAACCTTCTGACGCCAGGACCGGGGTAGTCCATGATCTCCTGCTGCCTTCGAGCATCATTCATTCACACTCGCTTTGGGCCAGGCAGGGGGCTGGATTCTTGGGGCACAGTCCAATGTGGTCTTTGTCTTTTTGGAGCTTTCAGTCATACCTGGCTTTAGACAGTTTTTTTCAGACTGAAAATCAAAGTCCTTGTGATCTGTGATCTGTTCCTTGATCCCTTCTCTTACTTCTTCTCCTAACCTTGTCTTCCTTGCTCCCTCCCTCTTCTCCAATCACACTGGCCTTCTCACGGTTCCTGAAGCACATTGGGCATCCAGTGGCCTCAGGGCCTTTGCACAGGTTGTTTCTTCTGCCTGGTAAGCCCTTTCTTGAGATATTTGCAGAGCTAATGCCATCACTGTTTTCAAGTGTGCTGAAATGTCTTCTCAATAAAGCTTGCCCTGACCGCTTCATGGAAATTGGAACCACTTTCTCCCATCCCATCCAGTCCCCCTTATTCTCCTTTGTTGTTTTATTGTTTTATACTTACTACTTTTTAACATTCTATATAATTTACTTATTTATTAGGTTTAGTGTTTATTATCTTTATTTGCCTCCCCCAACTCGAATGAAAGATAACATCAGGGATTTTGGTTGACTTTTGTTCAGTGCTGCACTCTCAGCACCTAGAACCTAATACTTAGTGGGGATCTATAAATATGTTTTTTGAATTGACAAAGAGTGAATAAATAAATGGAGTAAATAACCACTCAGTTAAATAGATAATTATCATTTATGACAAGCAATCAAAAGAAAAAACACAAAGCTCATGAAATAATGTTAATAGGCACACTAATTATAGACTGGGATGGGTTAGAGAGGTGATTTTTTTAGGCTGAAGACACGAAAGGGACTTCTCCCTTCTGTTTCACTAGTGCAGACCTTTGCTTGCAAACCAAAGGAATGTAGCACCAAGAGGTGATTTGACCCAGCAGAGTCTCTGAGAAGAGGTGAAGTCATTCATTCACTGAGCTAATACTCTTGGATGGGAGGAGAGAGTACGATTCAGTGACAGACGCTGCCCAGGGACCATGACATACCATACGTCTATCTTGTTTAATGACAACAGCCCTGTGGTTCTGTTGTTGTCATTGTTTTCCCAATGAGGAAATCCAGATGTTAAATAACTTTTCCAAATCCACTCAGCTAGCAAGAGGCAGAGCTGGTTTTCCAAATAAAACCCCCTTTGGAACCAAAACCTGTGTTCTTTCACTCTGTGGGCACCTACCGTGTGCTCCTCATGGTCCCAGGAGTGGGGCTTAAACAAACGTGGAGGACATACATAGCCCCTGACTAGAAGGAGCTCACAGTCCCTCTTGAAAGACACTTTGAAAGAAGTGCCCTGAATAGGGTATACGTTGGTTTGTTTTGGTTTTTCCCTGCCTCCAATTCTTTCACTTCTAGAGTTGCCCTCGTAGACCAGTATTTTCAAACTTGGAGCATAAATGGGTTTTGTCATTGTTGTTTTTTCATAGTCACTGTGTTCTCTAAGAAATCACTGCAACACTCATGGCTTATAAACAACAATAAGTATTTATTATCTAGTGGGGCAGTGCCTAAGGCATTTAATGGCTAACCAGAAAGTTGGCAGTTCTAAACCCATCAGCTATTTCTGTAAAGATTTACCACCTTGGAAACCCAAAGGGAGTCACTATGAGTCAGGATCCACTCAGTGACACTGGGTTTTTATCTTACAATCAGTGTGGGTCGGGAGTTCAGGAGTGGCTTCTCTGGGTGGTTCTGGGTTGGGGTTTGGAGCCCTGGTGGTGCAGTGGTTAAAGTGCTTAGGTGCTAATGTTTTGATTCTTACCAGCCACTCCATGGGAGAAAGATGTGACAGTCTGCGTCTATAAAGGTTATAACCTTGGAAACCCTATGGGGCAGTTCTCTGTCCTATAGGGTTGCTATGACTCAGAGCCAACTGATATTTTTGGCCTGGGTTGAGGTCTCAAGTGAAGTTTAGTCAGAATTCTTACTGCAGTCATCTGAAGGCTTGACTGGGGCTGGCAGATCTGCTTCCAAAGGGTTCACTTACATGTCTGGGGGTTGCTGCTGCCTGGTGGCAGGAGGCCTTAGTTCATTAACATGTACCTTTCAGTAGCTGCTTGAGTGTCCTCATGACACGGCAGCTGGCTTCTCCCAGAATGAGCATTCCATCAGAAAACGAGGTGGAAGCTGTCGTGTATTTTATAACTAGTCCCAGAAATCACACCATGTCATTTGCATAATATCCTGTTGGTTAGACAAGTTAGTTCTATTCATTGTGGTAAGGGACTATGCAAAAGCATGAATACCAGGAATGAAAACCACTGGGCAGCCATCATGGAGGCTGACTGTCACAGCTACCTAACCAGTTGCCATCAAATTGACTGCCTCATGGTGACCCCAGGTGTGTGAGAATAGTTCTTCGCTCCATAGGGTTTTCAGTGGCTGTTGTTTTAGTGGCACACATACTACTTGGAGAGACACTGGGCCTGGCAAATGCACAGCTCCCTGGGAGTTCTGGCTGTTTGATTACAGATCTCAGATAATCAGGGATTCCTATTTGGAGCTTGAGAAACTACCAAACCAAACCCACTGCCATAGAGTGAGATCCGACTCACAGCGACTCCTCCTTGGGTTTCTGAGGCAGTATTACTACAGAAGTAGATTGCCCCTTCTTCCTTCCGAGGAGTGGCTGGTGGATTTGAACTGCCAGCCTTCTGGTTAGCAGTCAGATGCTTTCGGCACTGCACCACCAGAGCTCCTACAGGATGCTGATTTTGCTTTGTTCTCTTCTTCCAGGACCGCCTGTACTTTGTGATGGAGTACGTCAACGGGGGTGACCTTATGTACCACATCCAACAAGTTGGCCGGTTTAAGGAGCCTCATGCTGTGTACGTGGGAACCTATGCCAGGCTTTGCCAATTCGAATAAGTGGGTTGGTTGGCAGTGCCTTTGGGTTTTTAGGCAAAGAGGGGTTTCAGACATCTGGGGCTTCTTCATGAGAAGGGTAAGGCCAGTAGAGAAGGGTGTCCTACTTCATATGGGAAACTTCTTTCTTTCCTGCCACCAAGTAAGAACCTGATTCTCTAAAAACACAGCTATTTCTTTAGCTCCAATTCTTGGCTCTGACTCTTTTTTTTTTTTTTTTCCTTACCTCTGTCTCTTTAGCAAGCCCCTCCAGCTTCCTTGGTGAATCTCATTGTAGGTTGTACTTGTTCATTTGCCATATTTATTGAGAGTTTATTAGGTTCCATACCTTACATGCTTAACCAGTGTGGTCTCATTTAATCCTGAAAGCAACTCTAGAAGGCAAGTGTCCTCATCTGTGCTTTGCAAACAACAAAACGGAGATGCAGGGTGTTTGGAAGATTTGCTCCAGATCACAGAGTTAGTGGGAGGTGCATCCACAATTCTGACCAAATCCCTTTTCCCTGAGTTCTCTGTCCCACACCATTCTCCAGTGACCTCAAGTGCCTTCACTCTAGGGAGATGAAGGGCCCCATTGAACCATGGCCACGGCTGTGGGTCCGGGATGGGGAATCCCTGATTCAATTCTGGATTTTTAGAAATGTGTTTTCCCACTGAATCCATTCACCCCCTCCCCTTTCAGTCCACAGAGCAGCCAGTCTTCTCTTTTCAGCCCACAGATCTGCCCATGTTACTCCCCCTAGTTAATCTCTGACAAATAGGAACATGGCAAGTCATAGATTGAGCAACAGTAACCTCTTCTAGGAAGTTTGCCCTTATGGCTCAGTGGTTACAGGATTCAGCTGCTATCCCAAAGGTGGGTGGTTCAAACCCACTAGCTGCTCTGTGGAAGAAAGATGTGGCAATCTGCTTTCATAAAGATTTACAGTCTTGGAAAGCCTATGGGGCTGTTCTGCTGTGTCCTGTAGGGTCGCTATGAGTCAGAATTCACTCCATGGCAATGAGTTTGGTTTCTTTCTTTCTTTTTTTGTTTTTTTGGTCTAGGGAGTTTGCTAAGATCTTACTGCCTGTCCAGAAAGTCATCAGAGATCATGTAGGCCCCCAGTCCTTCATCACAGAGGCTTGCTGGTTTCTATTCAGTTCAGCCTTTGCCCTTTCTTTTCTCCCATGTGCCAAAGTTGTGAGCACTATGTTGTGGCCACAGACCTTAATTCTTTTATCACACAAGACATATTGTCAGGACACTTGACACAGTTCCCTACAGCCCTGTTCCACCTTGATGGTAGAACTTGGCTTTCTATTTCTCGTAACCTCTTTCTTTCTGGACCTTCATGATGAGTTTACGCTTCAGACAGATGCTGTTTCCAATCCTGGCTGTAAGATTCATTAGCTTTGTAACTCGGCCAAGTCATTTTATCTCTCTAAGCTTCAGCTTAAGGAGCTCACTATGAGCTGGAATCAACTCGATGGCAGTGGGTAAGCCTCAGTTTCCTCATTTGAGGAACAGAGGGTAAAAATTGGACCTACGTCATAGGATTGCTATGAAGACTAAATCAGAAAATACCTAATTCTCTGATGGTAAACCTTCAACAAATGTTAGTTATAATTATTAAACTATAGTTTTCCATCCAGTCCATCATATGCTTGGCCCCCTGCTCCCTGTACAATTGCTGAACCTCTGCCCATCCCCAGTTGTCTTTAAGACAGCCTTGTAGCTCTCAAAACCACTGTAATCCATCCATCTACTCAGCATTTTATGAGCTATATGACTGACCATCCATGGTGAGACTGTAATGCCCTATGCCTACTTCAAAATTGTATTTAATTCTGAAGCTTGTCATGCATGTGGTGTCCTTGACTTTTCTCTGTTGCTTTTTCTTAAAAACAATTTCAGATTCTACGCCGCAGAAATCGCCATCGGTCTGTTTTTCTTACAGAGCAAGGGCATCATTTACCGGTAAGTAGCAGCATTTTTCATCTCCTCATTTTCCTGCACTCCTCCCTTCCTTGCCTCTTTCTTTAACTGCTTTTAAAATTAGAATCCTTGGTGGGGGAGGAATCCTCCTGTACTAAGTTGGGCGTGTGTTCTGCCAGGCAGCGTCGCCCACTGCCCTGGCAAAATTTGGGCATCTCTATATGTTGGTAGAAAAATCTCTGTGGACTCTGCCACCAGCAATGGTTTGAAATCTTCCAACATGAGAATGTTTGCTCTGAAAGAAACAGGCTCACCACTGGAACCTCAGTACCTCTCTCTTGCTCGTGGACCCCACATTTGGCAATCAAGCAAAGAAGTTTGGCTGGCAGAATTTGATAGATCGTATTATTATTATTATTTTTTTTTTTTTTGCTATGTAATAACAACTTGGAAATGGATCTCTGAATAGGTTGTCCTGAAAGGCAGGATTAAGTTTTGGACTTGGCATTTGCCTCATTTTGGGGGAGCAAATGAATGATCATAGCTGTATGAGTCATACAGTTTTATATTCTATCTGGGCATGGACCAGTAACTTGAAATTTGCCTAAGGTGCCATGAGACCAAATAATGAGGCTAGCAGCTCCATGATGGTGATGTGGGAATTTATTACGGGCTTGCTGACTGAGGCTGGTCCCTGAGTGGCAGCATGGTCAAGTTGGGTCTCCTTTGCCCCCAGAGGTAGGCAGGGGCTTTTATAGCTCTGGCACACAAAGGTGGCTCCGTTCTGGGGCTCCAGACCTCCAAGGCTACCCCAGCAGGTGTTATGTAAGAGTGATTTAGCAAGTGTAAGTGAGCTAGCAGCAAATAAGGACATAGTCATATTTTCCCCCCAAGAGCCTGTTCTCTTATATGTAAGGTCAGCTATGGAGCCTGAGGCTATTAGTGAGGCCATGGTGTCCAGTCCTCCTCATGCTACATGGGTGCAAATGGCACAGTCAGCACAGGGTTGGACTGCTTTGTTATGCAAAAGAGGCTGGCAGGGTCATGGGGCTTCCAGATACCACTTAGCAGGGACAAGGGTCTACCTCAAAGACCATGAGGAGCCATAAAAGCCTATTTCCTTTATTCATTTGACAAATATTTATCAAAAGCCTACTGTATGCTTCATGTGCATGTCATGTCATGATGTGACATCATATTTGATAAAGTAGAAGGTCAACAGAAATGAGAGAAGCCCTCGGTGGGATGAATTGACAAAAAGGTGCAACAGTAGACTCAAAACCATGGAGGCGGTGCAGGCCCAGACAGTGCTTTGTTCTGTTATACATAAGGTTGCCAGGGGTCGGAGCTGACTAAAGGACAACTAAGAACAAAACAACGGTTATGTGCCAGATACTTTTCTAAGTGACGGAGATACAGTAGTGAACAAAACAGACAAAACCCCTGCCCTTGTGGAGCTTATATTTCTAGAGGCAGGAGACAGATGAGTAAATCATAAAAATATACTGTCAAGTGGTAATAAGTGCAATGGAGAAGAAACATCAAGCAGGTAAGAGCTTTGTATGTACCAGGAGTGGTGAGCTCTTTTCATTCAGTAGAAAGCATGGCAGTTAGGGTCTGGGGACTCAGAATGACCCAGGAACCTTAGGCCTCTGTTTGCAACTGATGGATGTGGGATTGGGTTGGTTGCCCAAGGCTGCTGTAACAGAGGACCATCCATTGTTGTGTTGTTGTTGTTAAGTGCCGTCGAGTCGTTTCCGACTCATAGCGACCCCATGCACAGCAGAACGAAACACTGCCCGATCCTGCACCAGCCCCACAATCCCTGCTATACTCGAGCCCATCATCGCAGCCACTGTATCAATCCATCTCGTTGAAGGCCTCCCCCTCTTTCGTCGACCCTCCACCCTACCAAGCATGACATCCTTCTCCAGGGAATGGTCCCTTCTGACAACATGACCAAAATAGGTGAGACGAAGTCTGGCCATTCTTGCTTCCAAGGAGCATTCTGGCTGCACTTCCTCCAGGACAGATCTGTTAGTTCTTTTAGCAGTCCATGGTACTTTCAGCATTCATCGCCAGCACCACAACTCAAAAGCATCAACTCTTCTTCGGTCTTCCCTATTCATTGTCCAGTTCTCACATGCATACAAGGTGATTGGAAATATCATGGCTTGTGTCAGGCGCACCTTAGTCCTCAAGGAGATATCCTTGCTCCTCAGCACTTGAAACAGTTCCTTCGCAGTTGACTTTCCCAATGCTACACGACGTCTAATGTCCTGACTGCTGCTTCCATTGGCATCGATTGTAGAACCAAGCAATGTGAATTCCTTGACAACCTCAATCTTCTCTCCATTGATTGTGATGCTGCTCATTGGCCAGTTGTGAGGATACATTAGTGGCTTACAACAGCAGAAGTGATTCTCTCACAGTTCTGGAGGCTAGAGCTCCAAAACCAAGGTATGAGCAGGGCCATGCTCCCTCTGAAGGCTCTAGGGAAGAACCCTTTCTAGCCTCTTCCTTGCTTTGGGTGCCTCCTAGCATCCTTGAAGTTCCTTGGCTTGTGTCTACATCACTCTAACCTCTGCTTCTATCGTCATATGGGCTTCTTCCCTGTGTGTCTGAGTCTATGTGTGTCCTCTCCTCTTCTTACAAAGATACCAATCATATTGGATTTAGGGTGAGCCCTAAATCCAATATGACCTCATCTTGATTAATTACATCTGCAAAGACTTCATTTCCAAATCAGGTCATACTCTGAGGTTCCTAGTGAACCTCAGAGTGAATGAGTTTTGGGGAACACTGTTCAATCCAGTAAAGAGCCCTGGTGATGCAGTGATTACATGGTTGGCTGCTAGCCTAAAGGTTGGTGGTTCAAATATCTGGCTGTTCCATGGGAGAAAGATGTGTCAATCTGCTTCTGTAAAGATTTACAGCCTTGGAAACCCTATGGGGAAGTTCTACTCTGTTCTGTAGTGTCACTGTGAGTCAGAGTGGACTTGATGACAACAAGGTGTTTTTTGGGTTTTCTTTTTTTATTCAGCAAGAGAGAGACTAAAAGGCATAAAGAGATTGATTAGTCCTGGTAGTCTCAAGGCCAAAAGTGGATGTGAGTCTGTGTGTGCTGGTGGGATGGGGGAGTGGATGGTGGATCCTTAAGTGAAGCCTGCAGAGTTGTTGTTTTTTTTTTTTCCCCCATGCCTTGAAGTGCTGATATGAAATCTAGTTGGGGGGACGGGGTGATCTCATCCTGAGCACACAGGCTTCATGCCAGTGGCATCACTAGGGATTTGTGAGAAATACAAGGTAGCACTGTCAGAGAAGGTGATGCCAAGACGAGTGTCTATAAAATTTTTGTGCAGTGTTTCAGCAGAAATCTTTTCTTTTTTATATAAAAACATCCTTGTGGTTAGTCATAACAACAAAAACATTTTTCATAAGCCCATCTTATATGTATCAATATACCTACAAGGCTAAAACTCTCTGCTAATCTTTGAGTTTTCTAATACTCTGCAGTCATAGCTGTCATTATTACCCAATAACAATGGTACTTCAAATCACGTGGTTCTGTCTGCGTGCACTATAAGCATGCACTGTTGTTTTTGTTGCTGCTGGTGTTTTTATATTCACAGATTGTATTATATTTTCTGGTGTTCTAGGTACAATATTGTGGTAATTAGTATTTGCAAACCGATATCAATAGCTCTTTTGAGAATGAAGTAGTAATCAAAGGAAAAGAAAGAGAAAAATCAAAAAAGGCTTCCATTCAATTACTAATAATGTTGTAACTGATACCGTAACTCACCGTAGAAAGATTTTACAGAACAATTTTGTTGTTAGTATTCATATAATTTAAGGAATTTACAGCTATATTTTTCATACGTTATTCTATGATTAAAATTTATAATAAACGTTAGTAAGGATTCTGTATGATCTGGTACAAGAGGAGGTCCACAGGAGGGGTGCCACCACGAATTACCATCCTGGGTGACACCATCCCTAATGACGTCACACTCCATGCTCCCCATTCATGGAGAGCATCCCATAGTGGGGGGATGAGCATCAGGAAGAGGTGTGCTTATTCTTGACACATGTGAGATCTTAGTGAGGGCAGAGAAACAGAGAGAGTAATAATAATAATGTCCATTTTAAATACTGGAGTCATTCTGCGCATGCTTGTCCTCAGTGAACATTTGTCACCATGTGGGTATGAGATGTTACATTTGGATCCTCTGATCCCTCAGTTCTCCTGTTGACTTTCACAGTGACAGCATCTCGCATGCTCGTGTGATTCTGACGTTGAAAGATACACATTACCTTCCAAATGATGTGCGCCCTAAAGTCCTAGAGACAAGAGTTGGGCTCCACACCATTCATGGCTTGAGAATGAGGGGCAGCGTGTTTCTTCATAGAAATGTTAGGATGTTCTCCTCCCAGGATACTAGAGTAGGCACAAACCACAAATGTCCACCGCCCAAGTAAGATGACTTCAGGAAAAGTCTGAGTTGAACATCGAGCCATTGTGTGTCTGGAAATGGAACTCCCCTACCTTCTCTTGAGGCCAGGGAAGTCTGGCCCATGGATCATCGCTACTCACTGGTACAGAAATACCAAGTGTTGACTACGGAGTGGGTGTTCAGGAAGAAGAAACTGTGTTGATACTGGAGTGATTCAGTATAGTGGGGATGTGCAGTGATTTCCCCAAATACCAAACTCTCCTGACCAACACAGATGGAAATAACATACTGAGAAATTAGCACTTATCCTTTAGCTTAAAGCTCCACTGTCACCTCCTTAGAAAGCTCTTCCCTGACACCCTATTTCAAGGGACCTCCCCCAGTTGCTGTCAGTCTGTCTCATCATCCTCTTTATTTTCTTCATGCCACTTATCAGAATCTATAACATTCATGCTTATAGGTTTGAAGGCGTGTTCACTGTCTTCTTCCTTACACTAGAATTTGGTCTGATAGGAACAGGATATTTGCTTCTCTGGTTCACAGCTATCTACTCAGTTCCACACATAGTGCTTGTCACATAGTAGATGCACAACAAATATTTTTGGATTGAAAGAATAAGTGGAAGCTCCTGGCTTATGCTCTGAGGAGCTGCTCTAGGAGAGCTTGGAACATTCAAAGTTAAATAAGGTTCTCCTAATCATTGTTTCTCTCTATGATCTTCAAAGACAGAAAGAAAGTAATTTTGTGAAAAATGTATATTCCTACCAAAGATAAAGGGTCATTGCGTTGCAAAGGTCAACTCTTGGAATTGTGGGTACAAGAACTCTATGGATGGACACTCCACCTTTTGTTTAACTTTCTGTGGATCTTTCTTTCCTCAAATGCTGTCTCATCATGTCCTTGGAGACACTTGGCGTAGTTAACTCTATAGAAATAATAATAAAAATAAGGCATACAGGTTTATTATAGATCTTGTTTTATCTCCCTGCCAGATTGTAAGCTGTTGGAAAGCAAGGGCTGGTTTACGTTCACCTCTGTCAATGGGTGGTACCAGTGGTTAACACTAGGCTGCTAACCAGAGGGTTGGAGGGTTGAATCCACTCAGAGGCATTTCAAAAGAATGGCCTGCTGATCTACTTTGGAAAACCCAGTCATTAAAACCCTTCGGAGCACAGGTCTGCTCTGACACACATGGATTCTCTATGAGTCGATTCCAAAATAGTTGGTTTCTCATGTATATGTGTCTCCACTAGACCCAGTACATACGACACACCAGGATGTATGGTTTGCACACAATGAGTGGCTGTTGGCTGACTTTAATTAAGTCATTTAAGCATTTAATTGAATCCCTAATACTTATGTCTGCTGCAGTGACCTAAAACTTGACAATGTGATGCTGGATTCTGAGGGGCACATCAAGATTGCTGATTTTGGCATGTGTAAGGAAAACATCTGGGACGGGGTGACAACCAAGACGTTTTGTGGCACTCCAGACTACATCGCCCCTGAGGTGAGAGCTTAATGGGCCCCTGACACGTGTCTGTGCTATAATGATGTCTTTCCGGCTCCCAAGATGGCTGTGTTGGAGCTGAGGAGGGTAGAGGGTGGTACCTGGCAAAAGCAAACCTCAAACCGAACCCGCTGCCATGAAGTCGATTCTGAGTCATAGCGACCCCTCAGGCTGGTCCTTATCCTGTGCTCAGAAATCATTCCTTTGAGCTCACACATGCAAATTAACTTAGCACACATCCAGAAGCTCGGGCCCAAAATACACGAAGGTTTGGGAGAAAATTTAAATAAAACTCCAAAGAGCCATCCACCACACCCCAGTAAAATTCCTTGTCAAGCTGCTGTGGCTCATGGCTATATGACGCCACCTCCTAATTATGCCATTGAAATGTTTGTTAAGTGGGGGGAAGAGGAGAGGGAGAGAGAGAGAAATCCCCTCGGCTGACAGAGGATCTGTGTACCGATAAGCTGTGATGAACTAAGAAAGATGCCGGATTTTTTTTTTTTTTTTTTCCTATAATCAAGATTTAATTCTAGTGCCTTCTGTTCCTTCCCAAAGGAAATGGTCAGTTGCAGAATGGATTTTCCCAACATATCATGGCCCAATCATTTGTGCCAGAGGAAGCTTTCCTTTTCCTCTAAATTCATTCATGGAATGATGGAATTCGGCCATCTGTTACTGGATTGGTTTTTTGTTTGTTTGTTTTTTAAGGAAAGACGGTGGGGTTATAGCACAGAGTCTTGGAAATGGACATTGTATGGTTTCTCTTTTCTTGACTGTTAGTGACTCTATTCGTAGCAATGGTTATGGAAGGCCCCAGGTCATGAAATGGAGCTCTGTGGTTAACGCATTCAGCAGCTAACCAAAAGGTTGGTGGTTCAAACCCACCAGCCGCTCCTTGGGAAAAAATGAGGCAGTCTGCTTCTGTAAAGATTGTCAGCCTTGGCAATCCACTGGGGCAGTTCTACTCTGTCCTAAGGGTTGCTTGGAGTCGGAATTGATGTGATGACAGTCGGTTTTTTTTTTTTGTTTTGTTTTTTTTAAGGTAATGAAATAACTCAACACAGAATGTAAAACTGTTGTACTCTTTGACCAAAGCAGTTCTTCTTCTAGGTCCTTAGTTTATAAACACACACACAAGGGTAGAAGGATATTTGTTCAAAGTCTTTTCACTGCAACACTATTTTTTTAATAATGAAACATAGACAGTAACCACAATGACAATAAAGGAATGATTTGCTAAAAGATGCTGCATCTATATTAGAAAGTACTGTGCATCCTTACAAAAATCAGGGTGCACCTAGATTACTAACTTGACCCATCTTCATCCATAAAGCAATGCCCTGTACACCATGACGTGTTTATAATATAGACTGCTAGTAGGCATCAGTTCAAAAGAGCGAAACAGAGTCACATGAGGTATGGAAAGATCTTCAAGACATATTGCCGAGAGAAAAAAAACTCCAAGTGCAGAGTGATAAATACAGTATGATGCCATTTATGGAGGAAAAAAATCTACAGAACACTGCTGTATATTTTCTGTTTGTGTAGAGATCTGGAAGGTAATAGACTGACTTGCTAACACTGGTTACCTCTGAAGATGAGGGCATGGTAATGTCAAATTCAGTTCAAACTGTATGTTTTGATTGTTTACAACGTAAATGTATTTGTGTATTATGGAGGTAACCCATTTAAAAATGAACCTTTTATTGGGGCAGAATGGAATTTTCCCTGTTAGCAGACTTAGATCTATTATAATTTTGTTTAATTAATTAATTAGGATATCAGACACAATTGATAACACAGTTGCTTGACGTGCTCGTGAGCTCAATGATCTCTGATTCTCGACCCTAGTTGAACTTTAGAGTCGTGTGGGGAGCTTGTAAAGTATCAGATGGCCAGCCTCAATTGAATCAGAACTGCTGCACAGTGGGGCCCAGTCTCTGTGGTTTTCTAATGTCCCCGGTTGAGTGTGACTCCAGTAATCATGGACAGGGCCCAAGCTGTGTTACTGGGGAAATCGCATCCTCCTTGCAGCCCAGGGGTGGCAGGTGTCCATCCCAGCTCAGCAGTTACCTAACCCATCACCTCTGGTGATTCCTTTCACTTCCCTGGCTTCTCTTTTCCTTTGTGAAAGGATTGACTTGTTGGGTTCCATGAGGATCAAATAAGACATGAAGAGCTTTCAATGTGTGAAAACACTCAACGAGAAGTGTTCTCACAGCAAGCTTTCCCTTCAGTGTCTTGTAGATTATTCTCCTCAGAGTACATTTCTGATTTTCGTGGGAGTCAAGGTGGGAGACAGAGTTTGATAAACAGACACTCACTTTACAGCCAGATTTCCTGAAACACCTTTATTGTGTAAAACCTCAAAAATGGAATTAGAGAACTTTCTAGTGATAGCTAGCTTTTTTTTATTATTATTTTATTGTGATATGGGTGAAAGTTTACAGAGCAAATTCATCTTCCATACAACAGTTCATGTACACTTTGTCTCATGACATTGAGTGCTGTTTCCCCACAATGCAACAGCTCTCCTCCCACTCTTGTAGGCCACCTCTTCCCTGTATCCTTCCCTCCCATACACTCCTGCCCCCTGAGCCGTCTCCTTGTGCACACACAGCCCTTCTACTCTGATTGATCTCTCCAAGGAGTGTATCTACCTCATGTAAATGTTCAGCCCATATGCCTGTCTTTCGTTTGGCTGGAAGCCACAGAAGTGGGCTCAATTCCAGACCTGAAGGGCAGCTAGGAGCCATAGTATCAGGGGTTCCACCAGGCTCTATCACACCAGATAGCTAGCATTTTGAGGACATAATGTGTGAGAGGCACATAACATCTCATCCTCACAAACCTCCAGGAAATAGATAACTTTACTGTATATTCTGGTTCCCTAGTGCTGCTCTGACAAGTTGTTGTTGTTGTTGTTATGTACCGTCTAGTCGGCCCCGACTCATAGCAACCCTTCCTTGGGTTTCAGAGGCAGTATCACTACAGAAGTAGATTGCCCGCTCTGACAAGAATATACCACAAATGGGATGGCTTAAACAAACAGGAGTTTATTCTTAAAGTTTGGGAAGCTAGAAGTCCAAGTTTAAAGTGCCAGGCTCTAGGGACTGGGTGAAAGCTCCTCGACCTTGGGGTCCAGCTCTGCCTCCTGCTCCTGGCCCACTGGAGCTAGAGGTGTTTCTTCAGTCAGACAGCTGCTGGCTGCTGAGACTGAGAAGTCCAAGGTTGACAAGTAAAAAGGCACAGTTCTGATGTTACCAAACCACACAGCAGGCCATTAATTCAAGTTCATTGTAAGTCCCAAGGTCGGCAGAGCATGGCAGGCTGCTGAACAATGACACAGCTACATGCAGGGTCCAAGCATGCCATAAGCTAGAGACCATTCCCAAGGCTTCTCCTTATATACAGGAAGCAGACCACATTCCAAAGGCAGCTACTTAGCTGCTTATGGTAGATCCCACCATGGAGTTGATTGTCAATCTCATCATGGGGAATAATACCACCAGCTGCCCAGCCACTCAACCAGGCCCAGCCAAGTTGACACACAAACATAACTACCACACTGTATATAGACAAAAAGTGAGACTTAAAGAAATTAAGTAACTTCCCCCAAGATCACACAGCTGGTAAATAATACAGTCAGGACTCTAAATCTTGACTGTCTCACCTTCAAACTTCAGATGGTCACCCTTGCTATATTACCTCGTAATCCCTTTGATGCCCCTACATACTGATATCGGAAGGAAGGTTGGGCAATCCTACTTCCGTAGTGATACTGCCTCGGAAACCCAAGGAGGGGTCGCTATGAGTCAGGGCCAACTCGACGGCACATAACAACAACAACAACAACATACTGAAAGATGGACCATCACACAGCTACTCTAAATTTCACCCTTTTTTGGCAATTTGTTTATATGTGTACAAAAACTCAAAACTGGACACACCATTTGAGCCACCAGTTCTACTGCTAGAGATTTATCTAAGGAAATAATTGGACAGATGTCCAAATATCTCATTAAAAGGATATCTAGTGCCATGTCTGAAGAAACCTCTCCATTGAGAATTGATAAAATAGACTTTGGTATATCCATTCAGTGGAATGTTATGTGGAGGTAAAAACTGATTATGTGGCTGCACAAATATTAGTATGAAAACAAGTGAATAGAATATTAGCAAAGGGTTTATGCTTCTGTAAAACACACACACATTTAAGATGTATTCATAGAAAAAAGTCTAAAAGGAAGCAGAGCAAATATTAATCATAAGTTTTCTTGTGATAAAGTATTATGAGTGATTTTCATTTGATTCTCTTAACTTATCTGTATTTTCTGAGTAAACTGTATATTAGTAATAAGTGTTGCTTTTATAATGACAAAAAAGAATGTTTCTTCTTAAAAGTACCATACCCTTTGTTTGTTACCAGGGATGGGAGGGAGTATTGCTAGATAGGTAGAGACAAGTATTGATTTGGGTGAAGGGAAAAGCAATATACCAAAAGTGAGTAACCAACACAATAACACTAAGGCAAAGGAAGGCACAGAGAGATGAAGAGGAGGTGAAAGTAAATAAATAAATAAAAATACCACACTCTCGACTCAACAACAAAAAGACAAATAACACAGTCAAAAACAAGGCAAAGAACACAAACAGACACTTCACCAACAAGGATATGCAGATGGCCAACAGACACATGAAAAGATGCTCAACATCATCAAAACCACAATGGATGCCATTTCACTCCCACTAGGATGGCTAAGATCAAAACAAAAATGGAAAATAGTAAGTGTTGGAGAGGATGCAGAAAAAATCGGAACCCTCTTCCATTGCTGGTGATAATGCAAAATGGTACAGCTATGTGGAAAACAATCTGGTGGTTCCTCAAAAAAGTAGAGGTAGAGCTGCCATGTGACCTAGCAATTCCACTCCTAGGTACGGACCCTCGGGATCTGATAGAAGTGACATGAACAGGCATATGCACACCTGTGTTCATTGCAGCCCTATTCATAATAGCAAAAAGATGGAAACAACTTCAGTGGCCATCAGTGAATGAATAGATAAGTAAACTATGGTACATCCATACAATGGAATACTAGTTAGCGATAAAGAAAGATGAATTCTTGAAATATCTTACAACATGGGTGAAACTGGAGGACATTACATTGAGCAAAATAAGTCAATCCAAAAAAAAAAAGTAGTGTCTAGTCTCACTTTTATGAAATGACATGAATAGGTAAATATACAGAAACTAATCTTCATTAGTGTTTACCAGGGGTGAGGAGGGAGAGGGACAAAGACTCCTTAGGTAGTAGTCAGTTTCTGTTTAGAGAAAGGGGAAAGGTGGCACTGAATATGGGTGAAGTTTGTACAGCATGACTGAGGTAACTGATGTCTATAAGCTGTATCTAGGACAAAGGGATGAATGGGCAAATGCTAGGTTGTCTAGGGTTTTGCAACAATAACAACAACCAAAAAAAGGGGTACACATGCTGATACTAGATATAACCAATCACCTATGAGGATTAGTTCTCTTGGTTTGGGAGCTTAGGGCTGTGGTCTCATGGAACAATCCAGGCAATTGGCACGATACATTTCTTAAAGTTTATGTTCTACCTCCCTGTATGGTGTCTTGGGTCCTAAAAGCTTATGAGTGTCCATCTAAGATACAGCTATTGGTCTTTCTTCATCTGGAGCAAAAGGGGAAGAAGGAAACCCACAAATCAGAGAAGAAACTGGACAACAGGACTGACTGTCTACATGAAGCCCTGCCTTCTCTACCTTGAGACCAGAACTAGATGGTGCCTGGACATCAATACTGGACGTTCCATTCAGGAACACAATAGATGAATCCAGATAAAAAGGGAGAAAAATGTGGAACAAAACTTCAAATTCTTAAAGAATCCAGACTTGACCTATTGAGTCTGGAGGAATCCTTGGAACTATGGCCCTGAGTTGCTCTTCAAACCTTGAATTAAAACTATCCCTTGAAGTTACCTTTAAACAAAGTACCAGTTTCACTCAAAGAGTATCGATTGTCTCCCTTGAGTATTACTGTTTTTTTAAAAAATTACATTATATGTAATTACATTATAATTTATAATTACATATATATATATATATATATATATATATATATATATATATATATATATATATATATATATATATGACAAAAGGGTCCACAGCTATTTTACATTATAGATGAGAGAGAAGGTTGGAGGTCAGGGAGATTAAGTAAATGGAAGTGAAACAGCTAGAACAGAAATAATGAGACCATTGACACGAAGTGACCACTGTCACTGGTCACTGTATTTAGAAACTGGAATGGGAGTGGATTTTGTTTGCTATGCATATTTTCACCAAAAATAAAAAAAAAAAAAAAAAAAAGTCCCATAATCACTGTATTGAAGTGTACAAAAAATACCACATCATGTGGAGATCAAGAGTTTACCAGTGGTTACTGGGGACAGGGGATAGAGAGGGAGTTTTGCCTAGCAAGCATTGAGTTTCTGTTTATGGGGATGGGGAATATGGCAATGGATGTTGGTGATGGTTGCACAACATGATTGATGTCACTGGCTCCTGGCTTCATTGAATTGTACAAGCAAAAAGTGTTCAATTGTCGAATACTATGTTACCTCTATTTTTACAACAATTGAAAAAATAACACATCATACTAAGTGCTTTGAAAAGGCAATGTGGTTTGCCCAGGTGTTGGCCCCTGTGGTAGGTGCCTACCTAAAGGATGTCCTTCATTCCCTGGCAAAGTAAATAAAGCTCGGGTAGGCAGTAGCTTCCTCGTTCGTTCTTCTAACCACTGGCCGGCCTCTGGGTCCAAGGCAGCCACTGGCACTGTCCCCAGTAGGCAGGTGGCAGGTGAAGGAAGAGCTCTCCCTTCACCACCACCACCCCTCCTGCCTCCATGGACACTCCACTCATGCTGTGCAAGTCTGTATTCCATCTCTAGCTGCAACACAAGCCTGCATGCCTCCCTGATGGAATGCCTTCTGTTTTTCCAGATTATCGCCTATCAGCCCTATGGGAAGTCTGTGGATTGGTGGGCATTTGGAGTTCTGCTGTATGAAATGTTGGCTGGGCAGGTAATTGAATTTTAAGCGATGGTAAGAACAGCACCCTCTCCTGTCCATATGGCTCCTTCAGAAGAAAGTCCCAGCTTGCTTCCCGCCTCATAAGCTGAGCTGCTATGACTTCCAGGCTTAGGGCTCCACCAGCCTGGTGACCACTTTTTCTCATTCTCTCCCTGAGAGGCCTGTGTGTGACCTCGCCATGGGCTCCAGGGAGGGCCTGCTGGTTTGGAGCTGTTTGGGGAGTGGGTGCAAGGATCCTTCTTGTTCCCCTCTATCCTCTGTCCCATAGGCACCATTTGAAGGGGAGGATGAGGATGAACTCTTCCAGTCCATCATGGAACACAACGTGGCTTATCCCAAATCCATGTCCAAGGAAGCTGTGGCCATCTGCAAAGGGGTGAGTGTGCCTGTTAAATCTGGTGGCCAGAACCGCCAGGTACGGAGACTGTCTCCTGCACAGGGATGCTGATCAGGTGCTGATGGATACTGAACTCAACCCTCACTCTGCTTGCCAAGCTCTGGCCTAGAGCTGCTACTTCCAGAGGAGAGGGAGCTTTTTTCTAATTTTCACAAAAGCCTCCAGAGGCCTCAGTGCATCAGCATCTTGCTGCCAGTGGGAATTCCCACCCAGGGGAATCCTTAGTACGTGAATGGGGGAGGAAACACAAAGACTTTGCCAAAGAGCTGGATTCATAAGAAGGGTCAAGAGGTGTGTAGCACAGATCTATCTGCTCTGCCCCACTCAGCTGAGTATGTGTTGTTGTTGTTTTTTTTAAAAAAAAAATGCTGCCATTGAGTCGATTCTGACTCACAGCAACCCCCATTGGGTCTCCAAGGCTGTAAATCTTTACAGAAGTAGACTTGCCTCATCTTTCTTCCTTGGAGCAGTTGGTGGGTTCAAACCTCCAGCCTTTTGGTTTACAGCCAAATGCCTTAATCACTGCACCACTAGAGCTCCTTATGTGTCTGTTGTCATTGTTAGGTGCTATCAAGTCAGCTCCAACTCACAGTGAGCTTAGCCTAACAGAACAAAACACTGCCTGATCGTGTGTCATCCTCACAATCCTTGCTGTACTTCAGCCCACTGTTGCAGCCACTGTGTCAATCCATCTCTTTGAGAGGCTTCCCCTTTTTGGCTTTACCAAGCATGAGACCCTTCTCCAGGGAATGGTCCCTTCTGACAACATGACCAAAGTAGGTGGGATGAACTCTGGCCATTTTTGCTTCCAGGGAGCATTCTGGCAGCACTTCTTCCAGGACACATTTGTTGGTTCTTCGGGCAGTCCATGGTACTTTCAGGATTCTTTGCCAACACCACAGCTCAACAGCATCAACTCTTCTTCTGTCTGCCTTATTCACTGTCCAGCTTTTACATGCATATGAGGCAATTGAAAATACCAAGACTTGGGTTAGGTGCACCTTAGTTTTCAAAGTGACATCTTTGCTCTTCAACACTTTAAAGAGGTCTTGGTAGCCATCAAATTGACTCTGATACATGGTCACCCCATGTGTGTCAGAGTAGAACTGTGGCCCACAGAGTTTTTAATGGCTGATTGTTTTGGAAATAGATTGCCAGACTTTTCTTCCAAGGTGCGTCTGGGTGGACTCAAACTTCCAGCCAAGCCTATAACGATTTGTACTACTTAAAGCTGCGTAACATTTGTTCTAAGAAAATATCCGACAGTATTGAGTTAACAGGAGCTCTGGTGGCATGGTACCTATGGAATTTGACTGCTAACCAGAAGGCTGGTGGTTCAAACCCACCAGCTACTCCTCGGAAGGAAGGTTGGGCAATCTACTTCCGTAGTGATACTGCCTCGGAAACCCAAGGAGGGGTCGCTGTGAGTTGAAATTGACTTGACAGCAGTGACTTTGGTTTTTGGCTTATTGGGTTACTAGATTCTCTAGAAAAGCTTACCCGAATTTAGTGCTCCCCAGCCCCTAGCCCCCTGAACGAATGAATGGCTGTGAGCACTTGCACATTTATGTATGTGCAGTTTATGCAGATTGCAGCTGTTAGAAGGGAGGACACTGTGTTTCTGGTAAGGACTGCTTGTTATGCATCTGGTATTAGTCCACGATGTGTTCACGGTGACCTTGGCAGACCCTGAGATGAGTGGCCCCCACCTCGGTGCCATCAGGGTGACCTGACATGCTTTAGCAGAATGCACATACCTTAGCCTCACCTCCGACATTAAGTTTGAGCATCTGTATTTTGAAAAAGTCCCCATGTGACTTGAAAACTACTGCCTTTGGACATATATTCCAAAGGCAACTTTTCAACATTTTGCAAAGATTATATAGTGATATAAGGAGCCCCAGTGTTACCACTGTTACATGCTCAGCTGCTAACCCAAAGGTCAACAATTCGAACTCACCAAGATGTGGCATTCTGCTTCCGCAAAGATTTACCACCTTTGAAACCCTATGGGGCAGTTTTACTTTGTCTTCTAAGGTCACTATTAGTCAGAATTGCCTCAACAGCAATGAGTTATATGGTGACATGAAGATTGTTAAGACTCTGTGAAAGTGTAGAAACCATACTATGTGACACCCAGAGAATATGGTCTTTATAAAGCATTCATCATCTCTCCAGTCAGTGGTGCAAACTAGCCCTGGGCTTTATGATAGGTTCCTACCTGCATGTCTACTTAAACCAAGGCTGTCCATCCTAGATCCTAGGATTGTCTGTAGACTTCCCATAGCAATGACTACCTAACCCAGCTCTTCCTGACTCATCAACTGCCCTATGAACTGGCTTTGGTGAAAGAATGCTGGAAACAACCACCTCCTCACCAAACCAAACCAAACTCACTGCCATGGAGTTAGATCCAACTCATAGCGACCCCTCCCTGGGTTTCCGAGGCAGTATCTCTATGGAAGTAGATTGCCCAACCTTCCTTCCGAGGAGTGGCTGGTGGGTTTGAACTGCCAACCTTCTGGTTAGCAGTCGAGTGCCTAGTTGTAGTTTGTAATGAGATTGCCAACCTCTAGGAGTTCTGGTGGCTTAGTGGTTAAAGCATTCGACTGCTAACCAAAAAGCTTGGTGGTTTGAACCCACCAGCTACTCCATGGGAGAAAGGTGAGGCAGTCTACTTCTGTAAAGATTGACAGCCTTGGAACCCCTGATGGGGCAGTTCTACTCTGTCCTATAGAGTCACTATGCATCAGAATCAACTAGATGGCAGTGGGTTTGGTTTGGGATTGGTTGGGCCAGCCTCTCAGTCTCCCAGCACCTGGTGGCATTGCTTACCATTAGTGAACCATCTCTACTTTGTGTTCCAGCTACGTAGGTTAAGATGCAAAGACATATCCTTGGGGAAGCCACATGCTGAGTTAATCTCAGCCCCTTACAATGAATTGGTTGGATACACTTTCTTTGAGATTTGAGGCAGGGAGAGGGCAGGTGAAGAACAGAGGAGAGACTTTAGGGGTTCATTAAGAGCTCAAGGAAAGCTTGGAGGAAAAATAGGGCACAGACTAAAACCAGCGCAGACCACTGTAGATATTTTATTGGGAAGCTGGGAGAGGACGTACACTGAGCTTTTAATTTGTTTAATAATCACCAACTCTTGAAGATCAGGAGTTCCCCACAAACATTCAGTTTTCTGGCTTCTCTTGAAAAATCAGATCTCACCATGCTGGGCTGTCATTCCTGCAAAACAACAGCTAGCTAGAAGGAAGCCTCCCCTTTTGGTTGGGGGTGCCCTCTCCAGTGTGCAGAAATCCCCTTCTGGCCCAATTCCTTCTGGGTTCAAATCCGAGTCCTGGCATTATTCTCTATGGGCTGAGGATGATAATAGTAGGACCTCACAAGATTCTCTGATGGTTAAGTGAGATAAGAAATGTGAAGCACTTAGAACAAGGCCTGGCACTCCGTTCAGAAACCCTTGGGACACTATGACTGTTACTGGAGCTGGCTACATGACATTCCAGCCTCCTATTGGCATTTGAGTTTACAGCTCCTGCAATAGGAATTTTAAAAGTGAGGGACTTGATGGACACAATTAATGTCATCACATTGTACACGTGAAGAATGTTGAATTGGAAAATGATGTTGTTGTTGTTAGGTGCTATTGAGTCAGTTCCAACTCATAGCAACCCAATGTCCACTGGAACGAAATGCTGTTTGGCCCTGCACTATCTTCACAATCATGTTACATACATGCAAACAGCATGTTACCTACATACTTACCCACCAGCGTCATGTCCATCAGCAAGGCCATATTTTCCAGCTACTGGTGATTCTTCTTTCTTTCCAACTTTTGCATTCCGATCACCAGTGATAACCAACACATCTTGATTGCATGTTTGGTCAATTTCAGACTGCAGAAGTTGGTAAAAATCTTCAATTTCCTCATCTTTGGCTTTGGTGGTTGATGTGTAAATTTGAATAATAGTAGTATTAACTGGTTGTCTTTGTTGTCATATGGATATTATCCTATCACTGACAGCATTATGCTTTAGGATAGATCTTGAAACATTCTTTATGATGATGAATACCATGCCATTCCTCTTCCATTTGTTATTCTCAGGATAGTAGATCATATGGTTGTCTGATTCACAATGGCCAAAACTAGTCCATTTCAGCTCACTAATGCCTACGACATCAATCTTTATGCATTCCATTTCATTTTTGACAACTTTCAATTTTCCTAGATTCATACTTCGTACATTCCATGTTCCAATTATTAATGGATGTTTGCAGCTATTTCTACTCATTTTGAGTCATGCCACATCAGCAAATGGAGATCCCAAAAGCTTTACTCCATCCACATCATTAAAGTCGGCTCTACTCTGAGGAGCTACTCTTTCCCAGTTGTATTTTAAGTGACTTCTGACTTGATGGGCTCATTTTCCAGCACTATATCAGACAATGTTTTAGGGCTATTCATCAAGTTTTCCAGTAATATATTAGACAGTGTTTCACTGCTATTCATAAGTTTTTCACTGGCTAATTATTTGAGAAGTGGACGGCCCCTTCCTTCTTCTGAGTTTGTCTCAGTCTGGAAGCACTGCTGAAATCAGTCCACCATAAGTGACCCTGCTGGTATTTAAAATACCAGTGGCATAGCCTCCAGCCTCACAGCAATATGCAAGCCACCACAGTACAACAAACTGACAGAGAACTACATATGTGGACAGAGGTGCTGGAGAATCTCAGTATCTTCAGCCAAAACAAGGCCAGGAGCTGACTGTGGAACAGACCATCAACTGCTCATATGCAACTTCAAGTTGAAGCTGAAGACAATTAAAACAAGTCCACAAGACCAAAACATGATCTTGATTATATCCCTCCTGAATTTAGAGACCATCTAAAGAATAGATTTGATGCATTGAACACCAGTCATCGAAAACCAGAGGAATTGTGGGATGACATCAAGAACAGCATAAATGAAAAAAGCAAAAGGTCATTAAAAATACAGGAGAGAAAGAAAAGACCAAAATGGATGTCAGAAGAGACTCTGAAACTTGCCCTTGAACAGAGAGTAGCTGAAGCAAATGCAAGAAATGACAGGATAAAGGAGCTGAACAGATTTCAAAGAGCAGCTTGAGAAGACAAAGCCAATTACTGTAATGAAATGTGCAAAGACCTGGAGTTAGAAAACCAAAAGGGAAGAATACATTTGGAATTTCTCAGGCTGAAAGAACTGAAGAAATAATTCAGGCCTCAAGTTGCAATGTTGAAAGATCCTATGGGCAAAATATTGAATGATGCAGGAAACATCAAAAGACGATGAAAAGAATACACAGTCCCTGTACCAAAAAGAGTTGGTCAATGTTCATCCATTTCAGGAGGTGGCATATGATCAAGAACCAATGGTATTGAAGGAAGGAATCAAAGCTGCACTGAAGGAATTGGTGAAAAACAAGGCTCCAGGAATTGATGGAATACCCGTTGAGGTGTTTCAACAAATGGATGCCCTGCTGGAGGCATTCACTCAGCTATGCCAAGAGATTTGGAAGGCAGCTACCTGGCCAACTAACTGGAAGAGATCCATATTTGTACCCATTCCAAAGAAAGGTGATCCCACACAATGTGGAAATTACCAAACAATATAATTGATATCACACACAAAAAAATCTTAGTGAAGATAATTCAAAAACAGTTGTAGCAGTATATTGACAGAGAACTTCCAGAAATGCAAGCTGGATTCAGAAGAGGACACAGAGCGAGGCATATCATTGCTGATGTCAGATGGATCTTGGCTGAAAGCAAAGAATACCAGAAAGATGTTTACTTGTGTTTTATTGACTATGCAAAAGCGTTCGACTCTGTGGATCATAACCAATTATGAAAAACATTGAGAAGTGTGGGAATTCCTGAATACTTAATTGTGCTCACAAGGAACCTGTACATGGACCAGGAGGCTGCCATTTGAACAGAACGAGGGGATAGTGCATGGTTTAAAATCAGGAAGGGAGTTTGTCAGGGTTGTATCTTTTCCCCATACTTATTCAATCTGTGCGCTGAACAAATAATCCGAGAAGCTGGACTATAAGAAGAAGAGTGTGGCATCAGAATTGGAGAAGGACTCATTAACAACCTGTGATCTGCAGTTGACACAACTTTGCTTTCTGAAAGTGAGGATGACTTGAAGTACTTACTGATAAATATTAAAGGCTACAGTCTGCAGTATAGATTACACCTCAATATAAAGAAAACAAAAATCCTCACAACTGGACCAGTAAGCAGCATCACAATCAATGGAGAAAAGATTGAAGTTATCAAAGATTTCATATCACTTGGTTCCACAATCAACACCAATGGAAGCAGCAGTCAAGACATCAGATGACGTATTGCACTGGCCAAATCTGCTGCAAAGATCTCTTTCAAGTGCTGCAAAGCAAACATATCTCCTTGAAGTTGAAGGTACACCTAACCCAAGCCATGGTATTTTCACCTCATATGCATGTGAGTGCTGGACAATGAATAAGGAAGACCAAAGGAGAGTTGATGCTTTTTAGTTGTGGTGTTGGCAAAGAATGCTGAAAGTACCATGGACTGCCCAAGAACTAACAAATCTGTCCTGGAAGAAGTGCAGCCAGAATGCTCCTTGGAAGCGAGAATGGCCAGACTTGATCTCACCTACTTTGGTCATGTTTTCAGAAAGGACCATTCCCTGGAGAAGGATACCATGCTTGGTAAAAGTGGAGAGTCAATGAAAGAGGGGAAGGCCCTCAACAAGATAGATTGACAGAGTGGCTGCGACGATGGGCTCGGGTATCGTAGGGATTGTGAGGCTGGCACAGGACCGGGCAGTGTTTTGGTCTGTTGTATGTGGGGTCACTATGAATCTAAGAACGACAGCAACATACTTAACACAATTAAAAAAAAAAAATGAAGACAAGATTCAACCTGCAAAAGAAAAGAAAAAGAAAGTATGGGACTTTGGAGACCAAGACACACTTGGTTTGCATATCTGGACTTTTCAGCTCTCTAGTTACATGATCCTTGTTGCCTTGCATCTCTGAGCTTCTGTTTCTCTCTAAGAATGGAGTAATAATAATAATACTATTTAACAACGTTTTTGAGAGCATTAGGTGGGGAAAGCATCAAAGAACACTCCTTGCACGCTGCTGGCACATAATAGGTGCCCAGTTCTTGTTCTTTGTCCTCCCTTGACAAGCCCACCCTGCCTAGAGAGCTGGGGTGCTAAGTGGGTCATGGAGGAGAGAGGGTTTTCCAGGTCAGCTGCGTTCAGCTTCAGCTCCAATTAGCACTTTCCCGGAAAGAGCAGATTTCTATTAATTTAGGACCCATCACCGTCAGGATTAACTGGGGTGACTTTCTCACCATCGAGTCTTGGGAACTTTCTGACTTGAGTGAGCTAAGTCCACTGTGAATTCTTTTTTGCAAGACTGATGCGCAGTAGAGGGCTGACGCTTAAGCAAATTGCCAACTGCTTCTTCTTGAACAGCGGGCCCCAGGGGATGCATCTGGGAGGTGATCAGAGATTGGAACAGTGATTAAATCCAGCCGTCTGTATAGCTTCAGGCGCATCAGAGCAGAGGGCGGGCACCGTGCCGAGCCTCCGCGTTAGTGCGGATGATTTGCAGTGGGTTTTCTTTTGCCATCGTCCTGCCTGGATGGAAATTGAGCTAGGCTTTGAAAACAGCCCCTTCTCCAAGCGTCCTTTATGTGTCCATCCTATTAAAGGACCTATTTTCTACCCTAATTAGTATGGTTTCGCTAAGATTGCCACTCCCACTTTGAGTCCATGTAAAAGAGACAGAAACCCAACTTGGCATCATGTTGCAGTGAAGCCAGGAGCTCTGGTGGTATAGTGGTTAAGACATTTGACTGCTAACCATAAGGCTGGTGGTTCGAACCCAGCAGCTGCTCCATGGAAGAAAGATGAGGCAGTCTGCTTCCGTAAAGATTTACAGCTTAGGAAACCCAATGGAGGTCACCGTGGGTTGGAATCTACTTGATGGCAGTGAGTTTAGTTTGATTTGGTTGTAGTGACGCAAAGCAGAGACTGTATAGCACAGGGCGCAGGAGCTCTGGGTCAGGCAGATCTCTTCAAAGCCCAGCTCTGTTACTTAGCTGTGTGACTTTGGGCAAATGACTTTACTTCTCTGGACCCATTGTCTTTATCCAGAAAATGGGAATAATAGTTGCTACGGCCTCAAAGTTGTAACGATTAAAGAGGAAATACCTGGGTGATGGCTGAGACGTCTCTGGCACGAGCCTGAGCACGTAGGGCATGCCAGTACATGGCAGCCATTTTTGCTGTTATTAGTGCTAGCCAAGACCTTATAGCCCTTCCTTCCTTCCCATCCTAACCCTGCACACAATTTGAGGCACAATCCAACTGGTTTGCCCCCCATGAAACCTTTCTGAACCAAGCCAGCCCACAAAGCTCACTCATTTCTCTTGAAATCTCAAGTATTGGAGTCAGGCTGAGATGGAATCCAATCCCAGCATTGGCCCTTACTGCCTCTGCACCTTGCTGATTGCTGATCCTCTCTGAGTGTCAATTACTCTGTCATCAAATGGGGAAAATAATGTACCTACCTCATTGGGTCATTGTGACAATCACACAGGCTCATGTATGTGAATAAGCAAAGTAGCTTAGAACATAATAAGTGCCGGATTATTCGCCCCTGCCCCTCCCCCACGAAAGATCAGGCATATATGAAAAATAGGTGTTTTTGTGAGAGGAGGCAGGATGAAGTGTGAGAGGGTTGGTAGTTTCTGACCATTAATTATCTTGTAAGCAGGAAGCCGGCCAAGCTGAATGTCCACAAAGTAGGTGAAAATTGTTGGTTTCATCCTTTTCTGCAGATGGACAAGTCCTGAGCAAACTAAACAATCTGAAGTTAGAGGCTATTTAATGTCATGTCAATTCTGGGAAGCTTCTTGGACTTGTCACTTTTGTTTCCTGTTTGGATATCCTCTTGTTAGTCATTTGATTTTTTTTTTTTCCCTCATCACCAACTCATCCCTCGTTTGTCTCTGTGCCTTTGCTGAAATCTGGGGATCAGAGGGACTTGCATGTGACTTTGGATCCATTTACAAGAAGAGCCTGTCTGGTTCCATCTTGGAGCATCTATTCATCTTGTCATTTAGCACTGGCTCCAAGACAGAGATGGAGGTTTCTGATAATTAAGTAATTTAAACAGATCACCAAAGAAAACCTCAATGGAGCTTAGCATAATGTGTCTTAGAAGGGAAATGAGCTCAGCTGGGCTAGCTCTTCACCTACTTAATGAGCTTTCAGAAAGTAATTGCTTGAAACTCAGGGCCACTTGACTGTTTTTCCTTCTGTTTTGTCATCTTGGCAAGTGCTTCACTGAGAAAAGTGAACAGTATCTGAATGAATGGGGCGTTTGCCTTTCTTGGGGATGGTCAACCAGTTCTTGTGGTGGGGGAGGGAAGGTAGGCGATATGAAACTTTCATCATCAAATGTACCAATAATCACGTAAAACTCATTCTTGAACCGAAAGGTATCATGTGACATTTCCAACTTGACGTATGGGGTTACAGTTAGACCTAAGTTTAATTACCCAGATGGGGTCTTAGTCTGGCGGTGGGGGTGGGGTGGGGGTGGCAACAGGCTCTTTATCATTTCCTTCCTTACAAAGACTTGGCTAGGAAATTATTGCGGGGGGGTGAAAATCAAACAAACAAAAGAACTTAGTTAGAAATCTTCATTGTGCTTTCTCTAACCCTTTGGAATGATAATTTCCACACACCTCACACTTCCTTTTCTGAAATCAATTAAATTCTGTGTCTCTCTTTCTCTTGAAGCTGATGACCAAACACCCGGGCAAACGTCTGGGTTGTGGACCCGAAGGTGAACGTGACATCAAAGAGCATGCCTTTTTCCGATACATTGACTGGGAAAAACTTGAACGCAAAGAGATCCAGCCTCCATATAAGCCAAAAGCTGTAAGTCAATTGTTGTTTCTAACTGTTGGATACATGTACACCACACACTCTCTCTTCTCTGTGTGTGAGGGCTGTTCTCTGAGGGGTAGTCTGCATGTACTCACAGGTGGGAACAAAGTCACCGGGAACAAAAAATGGAGTCTTCCAGTCATACCACCCGGCCTTTGTAAGTACGGGAAAGACCATTGGTAGTGAGTTTTTGATTTTATCAATTCGGTTATTTTAAGTGTCCGAACTGACAGCTTGTTGGGAAAAGCTCTTTGGTGAACAGAGTTCAGATCCAATTTTTGGACTGTGATAAAGAATCTAATTTTGCCCTTGTTCTTCTGTTGGTTTCACTGTGTCGTTTTCTCTTCATGCTGACATTGAAAAGGTCATGTTGTTTATCTCAATGGTATTTGACTTAATTCTGAAACATACACTACATCTGAGTCAGTAAATAAGACAACGATCGAGCAGCCAACTCCAGTGGCGCCACTAGGGTGGGTGTCACCCAGTGTGGAAACTCATGGTGTCACACTCCCCACCCCCTCACCGCTGTGGACCTCTTTCTGTACCAGACCGTACAGAATCCTGAGTAATGTTTATGATCAATTTTAATCATAGAATGACATATGATAGATACAGTTGTAAATTGCTTAAATGTAATATTTCTTAGATTATGTGAATACTAACAACAAAATTGTTTTGTAAAATCTACTACTATCAAAAAAATTATTGATAGAGGTTCACAAATACTGATTACCACAATACTGTAGCTAAAACAGCAGAAAATTTGACAAAGTCTACAACTCTAAAAACACTGGCAGCAGCAAAGACAAGAGCACGTGCTTGTGGTTGGCAAATAATGACGGCTCCAACTGGAGCCCATTAGAAAGTTCAAGAAGTAAGTTAGCATTGAGTTTTAACCTTGTAGGTGTATTGATACATATGAGCTGGGCTTATGAAAAATATTTTGGTTGTCATCACTAACTGCAGGGAGATTTTTGTAAAAAATAAGACATTACTGCTGAAACACTGCACAAAAATTTTATAGACAATCATTTTGGTATCACCCCCTCTGAGAGGGTCACCTGGTGTGAGCCGCATCCCTCACACTCCTCAGTGATGCCACTGGCCAGCTCCCACCCAAAGCAGAACAGAACAGTGTGGAAGAGCAAGTGCTTCTGCGTCTTAGACCCTCTTGGAGGCTTATGGGTGTAGCTATGGCTTTGAGACCCAAGGAGGGGTTGCTATGAGTCGGATCCAACTAGGTGGCAGTGAGGTTGAGGTATAACATATGAGTAAGTGTCACATTTCACACGGTCATGCTTGCACGGGAGGGTTTTCCATCCTGAGAGCCTCTGCAGGAGTATTTGTCAGCATGGAGGAGGGGGATGTTGCAGATGAATTAATCACAACTGTGATTCTCCTGGGAGCATCTTTCTCTGTTAGATTAAATAGAGTGAGGACCAGGGGACTTTACTGCAGGTTGTAAAACTGCCATCTGAAGCGAAAAGTGAGCATAAGCACCATCCTAGAAACTGAAACTTGTGAGGATGATGAAGATGAAGAAAATGACAATGATAATGATCGTGATTTTGATATGATTACTGTTAGTAGTTTCTTGAGCACCTACTGTGTGCCAGGCATCACACACATGAAGCACTTTGTGTACAGCGTCTGGGGGCAGTGGTGGGGCAGTAGTAGAATTCTTGCCTTCTACGCAGGAGACCGGGTTCAATTTCCAGTCAGTGCGCCTCAGGCCAGCCGCCACCCATCCATCAGTGGAGTGTGAACAGGTTTGAGCAGACCTCCCAGAATGAGACTAGAAAGAAAAGTCTGGTGACTTACTTCCAAAAATTAGCTCAGCAGCCGTGTTTCACTCAGCACCCAATTATGAGGATGATGCAGGACCAGACAGTGTTTTGTTCCATTGTGCATGGGGTCACTGTGAGTCAGGGGCTGACTCAATAGCAGCTAATAACAACAACAACGCAGCATCTAATTAAATCCTCACAACAATCTACTAATGCAGGTCCTGTGATTCCACTCTGTGGAAGAGGAGATGGAGGCTCAGAGAGGTTAAGTGCTATGTCCAAGGTAACTCAGCCAGTGTGCAATGAACCAAAATAAACAAACTCACCGCCATCAAGTTGATTGTGACTCATAGTGACCCCTCCCCCCCACCATTGGATTCTCAAGACTATAAATCGTTATGGAAGCAGACTGCCCCATCTTTCTGTTGTTGCACAGGGGCTGGTGGGTTTGAACCACTGACCTTTTGGTTAGCAGCCAAATGTCTTAACCACTACACCACCAGCGAGGATTCAAACCTTGGACAGTCTGACCCCATTGGTTGTATATTGGGATATCCCAGGGTAAAAGGCATATGGTTTTAAAAGTCTCCCAGGTGAGTCTGCTACTCATCAGGGCCACAGCTCCACAGCATCTCAGAAGAGTCCAGTCTCTTTCTAGACATTTTCTGTTGTTGGGAAGCCAAGTCCTACAGAAGCAGCTCTCTGCACCGCAGTTCTTCTGATTATTGCACAGTTATATGTCGATGTCAAACCAGCCTTCCCAGAATGCCACTCACCAGCTCCTGATCTGTCAGCCAGAGCCTCTGTCTTTCTCTACAAAACAGCCTTCAGACATTTCCAGATGCTGGTCACATACTCTCAAGTCCTGTGATTCCCACACTAAACGTTTTTATTCTGTTACTGTGCCCACATGCCATTCCTTCCAGGGGCGTCATCCATCTTACAACAGACACAGAATTGTGCTCAATATCCCAGAGAGCATGTGACCCTCAGTAAATACAGTGGGATAATCGTTCTAGAGCTGGTGAACTTGGAGGTTCATTCTCCTCTCTGTACCTTAGTTTCTTCATCTGTAAAATAGGGCTCATAATAATATCTACATCATAGGATCACTATAATGCATAAAGCACTAAGTGTGTGCCTGGCACCCCGTAGGCACTCCAGCAGTGTTGGTTGTTGGTATCACACATTGATCCAGTCTTGGTGCAGGGTCTTTCAGGGGCAGAACAGTTGAATTCTGCTGATGCTGTACTTGAGAACATGTTTACACCACATATGCCCATGGATTGGAGAGGGTCCTGCATGGCATAGACAATATCACCACTTTGATATCACCTGGAGTGATATCCTTGGGTCCCACTTGAGACCTCTTATGTCTGAAGCTGAGGGAGGCCCAGTGATCTGTGTTTTAACAAGCCCTCCTGGTTCTTTTGACACTCGAGGTTGAGAATCACTGCTGTGGAGCTTAGTGTTTAAGAGCCAGGCACGGAAGCCAGCCAGAGGCCAGAGGAACATCACAAAGAGAATAATCTCTGGCTCATCTGAGAAGTGGTAGCTCTCAGGGACAGGTCATAGACTCAGATGCCTACAGTCACCAGGCAGGTAATGTCAGGGAGGGAGGAGGGCCTCATGAGGCAGAAGAGGGGACAGAGGCCAAGTGCAGCTAGGGGATCCCAGCTGCTATTCATTACGGCTGGCTGGCCCTGCAGGGACCCAGGCTTAGCGTTGCTCCATCTTCACAGTTTTCACAGGAAGCTGGAAATCTGGATTTTTATATGCAATATCACTACATTTTGACATCTTGGGGACAACATTTTAGAATTTAAACAGAGTCAGGCCAAGTGAACACATCCATGAGCCACATGCGGCCTGTGGGCTGCCAGTGTATAAGCCCTAGGGCTGTGATTACGGAAAGGCAGCTCGACATTAAGCCAATGCCCATTAATCCTGGTTGTTTACGGCGGAGTCTGCTCTGATGTGCTGACAAAGCATCTGATGAAGCAGTGTGTCGCCCACTGGACTCTGGGTACAGAGGGATGTGACAGGCAATCTTGGTTAAATATTTTTAATATATTGCAAAGTGATAATGAATAAAAAATGCCCAGCCTAGTGCCTGATCATAGAAGGCACTCAGGGAAAGGTAACTGGACTGAAAGTCATTGACGAACCCACATGAGGGAATTGAAGACACTGACTGGTTGGAAACCATATCAAATGCCCAACAGTTGAAGGATCTCGATGTATTTACTAATGATCATAATATTTTTGGGAGCTCTGATAGCGTAGTGCCTAAGGCACTTGACTGCTAATCAGAAGGCTGGCGGTTCAAACCCACCAGCCACTCCTCAGAAGGAAGATAGGACAATCTACTTCCATAGTGATACTGCCTCAGAAACCCAAGGAAGTGTCGCTATGAGTCGGGTCCGACTTGACGGCACATAACAACAACAACAACATAGTATTTTTACATTATCAATTACAATAACAGGTCTCAAGCTGCCCTTGATCTCTTTAGATGAATTAGAAATGGTTACAATGGCTACACCACCCATCCATTTGATTCATCTTGGACATAAGCCTTTCTCGTTGCAGATGCCTGGCCTTAGATCCTGTGTTAGTTACTACTGCTGCTGTAACAAAAATCCCAATATCGGTGGCTTTACAGACCGGGAATGTACTGTCTCAGTGTTTTGGGAGCCGAGAGTCTGAATGCAGGGTATCAGCAGAGCTATGCTCTGTGCACCGTAGGAGATGGCCATGCCTTGTCTCTTTCAGCTTTTGGCAACCCTAGGCGTTTCTTGACATTCCTGGGCTTGGAGATGGGTCCTCACATGGCATCTTCCCCATGTCTATTCTGCTCTTTTTATAAGACACCACTCTGAGGGGACTAGGCTAAGGGCCCACCCTACTCCCCCATGTCTTCATCAAATAACAAAAGAGAAACCTTACCTCCAAACAGGTCATAATCACAGGGACAGTGGTTAGAACTTCAGCATCTCCTCTGGAGGGACCAAATTCAGTCCGGAACAGAGTCCCACCCCCACCCAGGGAATCTCCATTTCCTCTTCTCCAGCCCTTCTTTCTGTTGCCACTTCTAAACGGCCCTCAGCGAGCGCGTGCAGGGCTCCATGTGCCTCACGTAATATATTAAAAGGCACACATGTACCTGTCAGTGCCCCTGATTCATGCATGCTATTAAAT